GAGAGAGAGAGAGAGAGAGAGAGAGAGAGAGAGAGAGAGAGAGAGAAAGATGCGAGAAATTGTGAATTTGTTTGTTGTAATTATTAGTCAAAGTCGTAAGGCACTCTTTGTTATTCATCATTGTATATAACTTCATTAATTAGTGCACTATTAATGACCTATTAATTAAGAATAGGAGTTCCATTGCTACCGAGGAAAAAGGCAAAAACAAAATTGAGAAATATACATTCTTATTAACACAAAGACGTTGAGAAAATTTATCTCGTGGAGAAATTTCCAAAATGTCATATTTATTTTCATATTTCTTGTCTCGTTTTGGCATTAACTTGGCGAATGGCAGGCATTATTCACGGTGAAGCTCGTAACTCGATTTGGAAATCGTACGTCTTGCGAAATAATGCATATCCATTCAATACAGGGGACATTTCAGATGGATATCGAAATGGGAGAAGTATCTCTACCTCCATTGGTTTCAACTGGAAAGTTCAACCATTTCGCATTCTACGTAACATCCGAAATTTCTTGGGTATCACTGTGAAGGTATGTAGTCAACCATTTCCCTAATGTCTTCCAGCCGACGGAGTACCCTTCGGTGAATGTTATTATATTCGGGTGAAGAGTTTATAATGGTTTAGGTGCTTTCTGAAACTTCTTATAACTCGAGAGACACCTAACGTGACTCTTGTTAGGCGCGCGGGGATTTGGAAAATTTATTGACATGCTGAACTTCAAATGTTTTTAATTAAGGGGAATAAAGTGAACAATTTGATACAGAATTTCTTGAATTGGATTTAACTATTTTTAATTTGTCGGTTTAATTGCGTGGGACATATCTATTGAATTCTACAGATAATTATTTTTGGTTGAGATTTCCTTCGGATGAATAAATAATGGAAGCTGTTCAAGCTTTTGGGAGTGTTATATTTTTGGGAGGGAATTCAGTTGTGGGATTATTTCGAAGAAGAGAAAAGTATTTGGATTTTTTAAAGAGGGAATGCATTCTGTAAAAATTAGTGGGTTGGGTGGATATTCTTGGAAATCGATGGACAGGGGCTGGTTTTCAGCAAACTCCTCGTGAGGTAACGGTCAAAGAGTAATTTTCACATTTTTAATACAAAATACGAACTGCAGGAGGTAGTCCGTTTGTTTATTACATTTTTGATTGAATTCTCCATGCTGTGATTCTACTCAAGCCTTCGAATGGTTAGATCGAAGAATTTTATTCAACAGGGAGTCGAACTCACGACCTGCTGCAGGCGAGGCAAGTAATTTACCATTATGCCAGATCATCGAGGACTTCAGGATGATAAATTCAATTTGAATTGAGAATTGGGTAATCTTTATTCTCTATTCCTTCATAATTTAAAAACTTCCGACTAAAACATAACGAAATAACATGAATAAATATTACGACACTGAAATAATGGATAAAATGTTGGAAAACAAATACTCGACTAGATAAAGGTGAGAATTAGTTATTTGATTAAAAAAAATTAGAAGGATAACTTATCGACGTAAAAAATGAAAAAAATCCAGGAATTTACATTTGTAAATGAAAATCAAGCACTCATGCACCACAAATTCACACAAAAAATTTTTTAATTGGATTTTAACCTCTGGCAAGACTTCAGATAAACGACAATGAAAATAAATTAGTCGACAAAACTAAGTTGAGAATAAGTAATTCAATTTAAAAAATTATAAATGTGAATCGTCGGTGTAAAAAAGTCAAAATTACCCATTTTAATTAAAAAAATGATTACAAATTCCAGGAATTGACATCTAAAAATCCAAATCACCCACTCGCCCACCGTAAATTCATCCAAAAGGACCTCAGACAATCCAAAATAAGAGTAAAATAGTCAACAAAACTAAATTAACAATTAGTTACTGAATTCCAAAAAATTGAAAGGACAAATTATCGACGTAGAAACATCCCATCACCCATTTTAATTAAAAAACTGATAAAAATTCCACGAATTAACATCCATAAATCAAAATCACCCACTCATCCACCGCAAATTCACCCAAAGGAGATTTTTAATTGGATTTTAGCCCCTGGTAGGACCTCAGATAAACCTCGTATAGAGTTGCATTCCCCTCAAAAATCACATTAATCATCCGAGAAAAAGTGTACACCCTTAAAATAATCTGTTCCCTGAAATGAAATCAGCAGAGGCAATTTCCATCCTCCCCCATCCCTGCCCCTCTCCACTGTCGTTCATCTTCACTGGCAACGTTTACGCACGACTCCCCCCCCCCTCCCTCCCACCTGTCTCTTATACACATCTAGATGTGTATAAGAGATAGATTTCAAGATTGTAAAAGAAGCTCATAACTATTTGGACAATGTAGGTGCAGAGAAGACTCGCAAGTGTTGCCAAAAAAATGATCCGTATACAATATATTGAATCTTTCAATTATTAATAGGGGAGACCGAGGCCAAATGAGACTGCTTTTGCGTGTATTTCACAGTCTCATTTTGCCCCGGTCTCTCTTACAGTCATTCAATTCCTTCAGATGATTGCTGATAAACAACAACATTACAAGAGCCGAAGTCCAGAAGAAACAGCGAGACTCTCGCTCTTGGATTTTCTGATAGACCACAAAATGAAAAATAAAGACTGGACGAACGAGGAACTTCGCTACGAAATGATTACTATTTTTGTCGCCGTATGTTATTTATGCATTCATTTCTTCAACTTATCATTGTTATCTCTGGGTAGAAATAGAAATGCGTGAAATGACCGTCACAACATCTTCATTTTTGGTCATATGACACGATCTCAAAAATGATGGTCTTGCATCTCTATCACTGAGAGTCTTTGCATTTCTATAACTCAATGATTAAAATGTACTTATTCTCCAGTCGTACGAGACGATGACGGGAATAGCCTGTTTTGCGTTACTGATGATGGCGATGCATCCGGAAGTTCAAGTCAGTGTACAGTCAACTACTTTTTGTGAATAACAGACACCGGGAATTATTTTTAATAACCACCTTTTTCCAGGAAAAAGCGAGAGAAGAGGTTACAAATGTAATGTCGGGTGATGACATTTCCGATACCGAAATAGCAAATTTGAAATATCTGGATATGATCATTAGAGAGACCATTAGACTTTTTCCAGTCGCACCGTTGATGCCCCGGAAGGTCAACGCCGATTTGAAACTAAGTAATTCTCTTCAAATACGTCAATTTACTGTTAATGTGTTCTGAAATAGTGAGGAGAATTTCATGAATTCAGTAGCGAAGTGGTAAAACGGTACAAGTCAATTTTGACTATTGGCCGGTTTTCAATGAATATCTGGGAATCTAAGGGAGATAGCAAAATTTTTGTTAC